TATCAATCTATCTATCTATCTATCTATCTATCTATCTATCTATCTATCTATCTATCTATCTATCTATCTCAGTGTTCTCCAAATCCAGATGCTTCCAAACTCACACCACCTGGGGAATAAAAAGATCTGTACAAGCTCCCTCCTTAACTGGATAATTGGGGACAGCCCCAATTTGATATTAGCTGAACTGTTTTATCATGCATACCAAGAAAGTGGCATATGTGGAATGAATGGTGTCTGTAACAAGCCATGATGATGTCAACATGGTAGCATGTACATCATTGTACAAATGATGTGAGTAGGGGTCCCCCTACTCCAATAACTTTAGGTTAAAAAGGGGGAAGAACACGTGGCTCCCTAGGGTTCCGATAGAAAAATAGATAGATAGATAGATAGATAGATAGATAGATAGATAGATAGATAGATATAGATCTTAAGCGCTGTGACTCAGTTGCTGGCCTGCTATTTTTCTGTTTTTGTAAACATTGTAAAATGTGGATTGTGTAGGTTAGAAGTGAATTGTATTGTGAAGGTTTTGCATTTTTGCAATTTTTATGCAGGGGTTCTCTGAGTCCTGAAACTTATTTCAAGGGTTCCTCCAGGGTAAAAAGGTTGAGAAAGGCTGGCTTAGGGTCACTGCAAGAGCAGAATACAATATATGCTACCACGTCCTTGCTATCTGCCTGCATGGCAAAAAAGAGACAAATATAAGGAAGCCACCTAGCCACTACAGAAATTTTTCTCTTGAACGAAGGCAACTGCAGAGCAGTGTTTCATCCTACTGCGGCAGAGATGCTAGTGGCATGGGCAAAGAATGCATAAAGACCCCCCCCCCATCTCAGCCTCTTCTCTCCTAGATGGCCATGAGATGGCAGTTCACAATGCCACCCCAGCTAATCAGCTACTATCAATGACTAGCCCAGAGTTAGCTAAGCCATGGTTTATGAAATGTATTAGTAGGGTTTACACACTGCATTGTGCCACAAAGCAGCCAACAACATCTTAGCCTGCTGTGTTGTATAAATAGTAAAGTGGTGATATTAGATAACCAGATGTTGAAGCACATACCCACTGCTGTCTCATACTAACCTCAGAATGACTGGTGCTCTCCCAACACAAAGTATTGATAGGGGAATTGCTGTTTAAGATGTGATTGGCAGAGCTGCTGATGTTGCATTACCTCTGATATTTGAAACATCCAGTGGGGTGCAACTTCTGTACCTCTCAGTGCATCAGTAGGAGCTTGTAATGACAGGAGAAAGAGGCAGGGTATATATGGACTTCATGCTGATGTTCTGAACATCATATGCATGACATCTACTGCAAACAATGTTTTTATAATCGTTTTATAATTGGGTCAGGAGATATGCATGATATCTTCCCTCCCTTGAAAAGCCCCCTCAGGCTTTAAGATGGATTGCGGAACTGTCTTCATTTGTCAGTGAAAATTATAATATTTGGGGCTATGTTAAAAAAAGTGATAAATAAAAAAATAGGGTAGTATGAATTTTAAATCACATCTTTGTCTTTTTAAAATGCCCCTCCCATGATTACAAAATCTAGTATGTTGTTTCTGAACAGTGTAATTCTCAGAAAATATAGGCAATGTTGACATTATGTATACCCATATATACATCTGCATTCACACACACACACACACACACACACACACACACACACAGATGACTATATCCTATCCTGTCTGCAAAGGCTTTCATGTCCTTCAGGACCTTTTGGAAGCATCTGGGTAGCCATTATCAGGATTATCATATTTATTTATTCAGATATTTAATCCAATGCAATCCTGCAATTTGGACATATTATGTGAAGACCCAGTTCTCTAGAAAAGGCTCCAATGCTGGGTGTAAAGAAAAAGAAGAAGATGGCCAGCAGAAAGGTGGATGGGCTCAGTTACAGTGGTGATGAGTGCACCAGTGCAACATTGGAAAACCTGAAATACCAGCTTCGGGACAGATTGTCATGGATAAAATCTATCTATGTACAGTAATACTTCAGTTCACGAATGCTTCTGTTCACGAACAATTCAGTTTGCGAACAGCAGCGTTTGCAAAATTTTGCTTCCATTTGCGAACTTCGCATTGGGTGACAAACACAACCCGCGGCCATCTTCCCTGCTCTGACACATGGTCATGACTTCCTCTAGGTGAGATCGTGGTCACAGACAGACACTTGCTGTGAAGCTTTTTGGTGTCACCTCAAGCGAGGT